TCAATTGCTTGTTGAAGCATTCATTTCAGTAGGCAGTAACCATTTCTTTCCTCCCTCATATTCTTTCTCCTTTTAATTTTATTATGGTAAAATATATACAATATAAAATTAGCTACTTTAACCAATTTTAGGTGTACAATTCACTGGCATTTATAATGTTGTGAAACCTTTACCACTTTCTATTTCTAAAACTTTGATACCACACCAAACAGAAACTCTGTACCCTTTAAGTAGTAATTCCCCTTAGCTTATTCCACCACTCTCTACATAGTAGATCACATGATTATTGATTCAAAATGGCCAATACTAGTCTATCTCAGCTCACTAATTCATATAATATCAATCTTTATGATCTTCTATGCCAGGAATGACAAAATGATGAGGAAAGATATAGTGTTCATCATCAAAAGGACCATTTCAGGATATGTTTTGAAGGACAATGCTGTGAGTGATAGGATACTATTCATACTCACACAAGAAAGTCCTGTCAATACAACTATTATTAAAATATACACACCAACCATGAAATTCAAATATGAGGCAATCAAGGATTTCTACTAAATTCTGCATGGTTTAACATCAGGAAAACTGTGTGTCAGAGCCGTAGCCTCTCTCCATACCTTTTACATTGGTATGCTGAATGAGTTATTTAATTTTGCTTGACTTTATGAAGAAAGATGTTGTGTCAAGATTTGAAAAAGACTTATCAACAATCTTCATTGTACAGATGACACAACCTTACTTGCTGAGAGTGAGGAAGACTTGACTTGACACACTTGTTGCAGAAGATCAAAGATGACAGCCTGCATTATGGATTACGTCTCAACATTAAGAAAACAACGATCTTCATCACTGGATGAATAGGCAATATCATGATGGAGAAAAGATTGAAGTTGTAAATTATTTCATCTTGCCTGAATCTACAATCAACACTATTGGTACCAGCAGCCAAGAAATCAAGAGATGTATTAATCAGGAAAGTCTGTTGTCAGGAATCTCTGCAAAGTATTGAAGAGCAGTGATGTCAAATTATGGACTAGGCTATGCCTAATTCAAGTCATGGTCTTTTCAATCACTGGTTATGCATCTGAGAGGATGGAGGGTCAACAAAAGAGTAGAAGACCCTCGGTGAGATGGATCAATATAGTGGCTGCTGCAATGGCATATAGTATAACAAGAGATAATAAAATGATGCAGGATAGAACATGGTTTAAATCTGTTGTTCATAGGGTAGCTTGAATTGTACTTGACTTAATGACATTTAAGAACAACAATCAACTTTTGCAGTCTAAAATTAACCAAATATACAGCCAAGAAGCATTAATAATATTTGGTGACTGGAATTCAAAATCTGGAAACAAAGAAGAAGGAGTGGTCACTGAAAACATGACCTTGGTGACAGAAATGAGACTGGCGAGTGAATGATAGAACTTTGTATGAGTGATTAATTCATTGCAAACATTTTTTTAATTCCACAAATGACAACCATGTATATGATGAAGTTCATCTGATAGGATTACACAGGAATTAGATTGACTGTATCTGTAGAAAGAGAAGTTCAGTATCAGCAGTGAAAACCAGACCTGGTTCTGACTGTGACACAGACCACCAAGTATTCATATGCAAGTTCAAATTGAAGGTGAAGAAAATGAAAAATAAATAAATAAATCCATGAGAACCAAAATGTAACCCAACTGAATTGAAAACTATCTTATTATTAACTATCTTATTATCTTATTTGATGCAAAAATTTTTTTCTTTAAATGTATTTGATACAAAGCAATGCCCTGGTGACATGATGGTCTTTTGTGTTTTCCTTTGCAAAGTATAACCTCCAATAAATGTCTTTTTGTTTGCATAGGGGAAAATAGATTTGGTGGATTGAACACGAATGCTCTAAAATCAAATGAGTTATGGAAGGACATCAAGGACATCATCTATGAAGAAAGATAAAGGACAATACAAAGACAAGGAAGAAAGAAAAGACCACAATGGTCAAAAAAGACTCTAAAACTTGCCTCAGACCTAAAAGAAGCCAATACAACGAGAAAGGATGCTGAGACAAGAAAGCAGAACAGAAGAGTCAAAGAAGGTCAAGAAGACAAAGTAAAGCATTGTAATGAAACATGCAAGGAGGTAGAGTTAGATTACTAAAAGGGAAGAATGCGCTCAGCAGTTCTCAGGCTGAAAGAATGGAGGAACAAATTCAAGAGTTGTGAGACTGAGGTATTCTACGGGCAAAATCTTAGAATGCAGAAAGCATCAAAAGAGGGAAGGAATGTATAGTCGCTGTACCCAAAAGAGTTGGCTGATACTGAACCATTTCAGGAAGCAGCATGTGATCAAGAACCAATAGTACTGAATGAAGAAGTCCAAGCTTCATTGAAGGCATTGGCAAAAAATAAGACTCCAGGAACTGACGGAATATCAATGGAGATGTTTCAAGAAACCTTGTACATGTTTACCAGTCTATACCAACAAATATGAACTCACTGGAAGAGATATTTTTCCCCACTTTCCTAGTAGGTGGAAATTATCAAAGAGTTTCCATTTTAGAGACAGTGAGATTGGCTCAGGATAGAACAGGATTCAAAGCTCTTGTGCTTAGGGTTGCTATGAATTGTAGTCGACTTGATGGCACATAACAATGACATCACTTGTAAGTAAGATCTTTCTGAAGATTGTTTAAAAATGACCAAAACAGGACATTAACAGGGATCTTCCAGAAATTCAAACTAGATTTAGAAGAGGCCATGGTATGAAAGATATCACACTGATGTTTGAAGAATGTCTGTTGAAAGCAGACAATATCAGAAAGATATTTACTGATGTTTTAATGATTATTCAAAGGCAGTTGACTGCATGGACAATAACAAATTAAGTTTAGATCACAACAAGGATGAACAATTTCCTCCCATGTAACTTTCAGCCTTTAAAAACCTACTGGAGAGTCATCTATGAATCAGTTCCAACTCAATGGTACATAAAAATAACAGACTATGTGAAGAAGAATGTGGCATCAGTGTTGGATGAAAACCCTCCAACAACCTGTATTATGCAGATGAGATAACAATGCTTACAGAAAGAAAACTTGGAGCACTTTCTTCAGAAAATGAAAGAACAAAGCCTTCATTATGGACTGCATCTCAACATCAAGGAAATAAAAATCCTCACCGCTGGACCAATAGGCAAGAGTATGATAGATGGAGAAAAGATCAATATTGTCAGAGTTCATTTTATTTGGATCCACAATCAATGGCCATGGTAGCAGCAATTAAGAAATAAATAAAAATCTTATGCATATGAAAGTTGTACAGTGGATAAAGAAGTTGAAAAGTTCAAATCTTAGTGGTTCTCATCCAAAAAAGATTGACAAGTAGGAATCATGTGTTAGTAACTGAACAAGGGCACTCAATTCAAGGAGGAATGTACAAGTGAAGAGATTTTATTTGCTTTAATAATTTCCCGCCTGATTTTGAGGGAGTCTACCAAGTCTCCAGGGAGCTCTGGTGGCTTATTGGTAAGGAGCTGTGCTGCCAACCTTGTTTGAATACATTGTTGCACATTGTTTGAATACAACAGCTGCTGCATGCTATGTTGTTGTTGTTATGTGCCGTCGAGTCGCTTGTGACTCATAGCAACCCTATGCACAACAGCCCTAAACTCTGTTCTGTCCTGTGCCAATTTCACTGTCTCTGACACTCCCATCCCGATTATCCCAGTCACTGAAACAATCCACGTCATAGAGGGCCTTCCCCTCCTGTGCTGTCCCTCCACCTTACCAAGCATGATGTCCTTCTCCAAGGACCAGTCTCTCCTTACAACATGTCCAAAGTATGTCAGACGAAGCTTTAGAATCCTTGCCTCCAAGGAGCCACCCGTCTTAACCCTCTCCAAGATGAATCTGTTTGTTTTCCTAGCAGTCCATGGTACATTCAATACTCTTCTCCAGTACCACAGCTCAAAGGCATCAATTCTCTTTCTATCCTCCTTCATCAGTATCCAACTCTCTGATGCATAACAAATGATAGCATAGACCATGGCCTGTATCAGACGCACCTTAGTCTCCAGAGAGACACCATTGCTTGTCAGTACTTTGGAGAGGTCCCTAACAGCAGACTTTCCCATTGCAATACGTCTTTTAATCTCCTGGCTACTGGTGCCAAGAGTATTGACTGTGGAGCCAAGCAAACTAAAGCTGTGAACAATCTCAATCTCTTTACCATCCATGGAAAATCTCCTCCCATGCGATTTACTGCCTCTAAAAACCCACTAATGGGTCAGCTATAGGTCAGTTCTGACTCAATGGTACATAACAACAGCAACAAAGAAGAGTTCATGCCTTTAAGCTGTGGTGTTGGTGAGGAGTATTGAATATACCATGGACTGCTAGAAGAATAAACAAATTTAATTTGAAGGAAGGGTAACCAGGGTACTTATTAAGTGGCAAGAATGGTGAAATTTCATCTCACTCATTTTGGGCTTATTTTCAGGATTCACCAGTCCTTGAAGAAGGACATGATGCTGGAAAAGGTAGAGGGTCAGTGAAAAAAGAGGAAGACCCTCCATGAGATGGATTGACACCATGACGACAAAAATTACCTTGTACAGAGATGCTGAGGACCAAGCAGGATACAGCAAGGTTCAAATTTTTTTTTTTTGCAGAAAAATGATTTAAAGACATTATGGTTTTCTTTACAAACAGATGTAAGAACAAGAATTGTCCACTTTTTAAAAACTACATTATTTATCTTCAGCATTTCAACCCTCAACTATTATAACCCACTGAATTGCCTGCATCAAAGGCAGCTCCCCTGACCCCATTAGGTCTCCAAATAAAATCCACCATTTCTTCATCATCTGTGGCCCGGGCTTTCCTGGAAAGTCTCTGGGTACAAGTCCTCACAGGTTTTTGGCCTGCAATTAAAACCACCAAAAACTTGAGACCCTTCCCTTGCATCCTGTCTTCTGTGCCCTCCCCTCTTCATCCTCTGTACAGTTCAGTCATCACTGTCCGACAGTGTCTCATATTGTGCTGAGAGAAGTGGGGCAGGCTCTCGTTCCCAGATCCTGCTTTGTTGGTGAGGAGCTGCTTGGTTTACAGAAGAGGGAGCACATGCAGTGGATGTTGGTGGTGTACTGCTGAGCATCCGCATAGTCAAAGGGTTGTAAGGAAACTGCGTTGAGCCTGTTGAAGAGGGCCTATCCTCCCAGGCCCACCCTGGTGTCTGCCGATGGTAATCCCCTTCTGAATGTACAGAGACAGAAGAAGGTCGCTCTGTTCCTAAGTATCCCTGCCCAGGGATAGGAGATTTAGATTTCCTGCTGCTTGACTTGCTGATTGGCTTTGGTTTACAAACTCCTCCTCCTGCATTAGGTGATGGGTCCCTTTCTTCTCTTCGTGCCTCTCCAGTGGACACAACAGAGGTATTGGTGCTCCCAGGCCCTCCGACCACAGGCTGGGGCATGATAACTCCATGATCATCCACTTTGTTATCAAAGCTTCCCATGAGAGCTTTCCTAATAATGTCTTCTAGCCCCAGATTGCCGGCAGGATCTGCAAAAGAATGGACTCTAGAGCTTACTGAGCCTGAGGTAGTGACTGCTGGCAGATTAAAGATCTCAGTTCCTGGCTGAGCAGCTGCCATATCAGAGTCACCTCCACCAGAAGAGTTCAACTTACGAAAAATCTCCTGCTTCTTTGATTTAACCATGGGCGAAGTGTTTTCAAGCTTGGTGAAGAATGAAGGCAAGTAGCTTATACTTGCTGGTGAAAGCAAGGTTCAAATTTGATGTTCATGGGGTTGCTATGTATTATCATTGACTTGATGGCATGTAACGACAACATTTTTTCCAGCCCCTAGTAATGTTTAATCTTCTGTCTCTCTATATGTTTGTCTAGTCTAGATATTGCATGTAAGAAAAGACCGTGTATTTTTCTGTTTATATCCAACTTATTTCACTGGAGGATTCCCTCTTCAATTAGTAATATTACTCTAGATTTCCTTTGGGCAACCAATTAAATAAACTGTTAGCCTATATCATTCAGAATAAGGCTGATTCCACCATGGGCTTCAGGGGTAGGTATGTAAGTTTGGCCTCAGAAACTGGCAAAATCCTTCTAACAGGAACCAAGTGATTGATTCAGAAGTGAACATATGACCCAGTGTAATTTGAATCCAAATCAGTCCTGGACTTCTTCTGATCGGTACTATAGGAAAGAGGTGATCTCTTTTCCCTAGGATTGCTCAGAGCTGATCTCTTGTGGTGGAAACTGCAAAGAGAACCTTCCACAGAAGAAAGTCCACAGTGGAAGATGAAGATTAGCAAAAAAAGGAGATAGTCCTAAGCCTCTGGATCTTAGTGTTCCCAGAGACAAACCCTCTTTGGCCTTTTCAATTATTTGAAACACTAAAGCCTTTTTTTGCTCAAAAAGGTTTGGGTTTTATTCCTGCCACTTACTTGTCGTGACCATCAACTTGCCTTGATTCTATGACAACTATAGTCCACATCTGACTAATCTTGAGTGGCATAATTATTCTTTCTAGCTTGTCATTCTATTGGCAAAAATGCACATTAACTAATCTCATTTATTTCATTAATCTGAGCAAATTAGGTTGGAGATCTATTTAACATATGATAGCATATTATATCCAATTAGAAATATTTACTAGGCATATTCTAAGGAATCTCTGGTGGCCTAATACTTAGGAGTTATGCTGCCAACCCGAAAGCATGTGGTTTGAATCCACCAGCTGCTCAGTGGCAGGAAGATAAGCCATCCTCTCTCTTGGAACTTGACAGCCAAAACAACCACAACAGGCACTTGTTCAAAGGAACCCTGGTTGCACAGTGATTAAGGTACTCAGTCACTAACTGGAAAAGCTGTGGTTCAACTCCACTAATCACTCAGTGATAGAAGATTTCTGACTGTGGTAGTAGTCTGCTTCTGTAAAGAATACCACTCATTATTCTTGAAAGACATTATTGCCAATGTGAGATGAGTGTTGGCCAAAAAACAAAGAATACCAGAGGAATGTCTGTCTGTGTTTCATTGACTGTGCAAAGACTTTGGACTGTGTGGATCACAAAGAATTGTGGTTAACCTTGAGAAGAATGAGAATCCCAGAACACCTGGCTGAGAATCCCAGAACACCTGGCTGTGCTCATGTGAAACCAGAAAGCAGTCATCAGAACAGAGCAAGGAAACATTGCACGGTTCAAATTTTGAAAAGAAGGGCGTCAGGGTTGAGTCCTGTCTTTATGCCCTTTCAATCTGTATGTGCAACAGATCATTTGGAAACTGGGCTTTATGAGGAGGAATGTGGCATCAAGATTGGAAGAAGAATTACCAACAAACCTGAGTTACATAGATGACACAATCTTGCTTACTGAAACGGAAGTGACCAGAAACATTTGCTGCAGAAGGTCAAGAACTGTATTTTTCAATATTGATTAAAGCTCAACATCAAGAGGACAGAGATTCTCACCACTGAGCCAATTGGTAGCACCACAATAGACAGAGAAGAGATTGAAGTTATTAATAATGTCAGCTTGCTCAGCTCCACAATCAACACTCTTCGCACAAACAGTCAGTAAATCAAAAGACAATTTGAATTGAAAACATCTGCTGTCAGGCACCTCTCCAAAGTGCTAAGGAGTAATAATATTATTTTATGAATTAATGTGGGCTTGATCGAGGCCATGGTATTCACAATTACTTACTATGCATCAGAGAGCTGGACTAAAGATGATAGAAGAAGAATCAAAGCCTTTGAGTTGGCTGGAAAAGAGTATTGGACCACCAAGAGAACAAATACATCTGTCTTGGAGAGGGTGAAATCCTTGGATCTAGGATTCTGAAACTCTATCTCTCATAATTTGGACACATAGCTAGGAGGGACCAGTCTTTGGAGAAAAACCATCATGTTTGGAGGGTGAAGAGACAGTGCACGAGAGGAAGACCCCCAATGAGATGGATTGACACAGTAACTGGGATATTGGGGGTAGGTGTGTCAGAGTCAGTGAGACTGGCTCAGGACAGGGTAGGGTTTAGAGCTATTATGCATAGGTTTGCTATGAGTCACAGGTAGCTTGATGGCATATAACAACAACAGGGTCAAACTCATAGCTGAACCTCTGATGAGTTTCCAAGGCTTTGTAAATTATACAGTAGAAAACGGCCCATAGTTGTCCCATCAAATGACTGGTGGATTCAAACCACTAGAGAAGTTTGACCTTTGGGCATAAGCTTGGCCTTTGCAAATGCAACTCCCTAGGGACTACCATCAGAGCTCATTTCTATAGACAGTTGTTCTGTACTGTTGAATCAGAACCAACCCATAGCTGACCCTCCAGTGGGTTTTCAGAGGCAGTTGATTGCATAAGAAGGGATTTGCCATTTTTCTCCCACAGAGTTGGGGGTGGATTTGAACTATGTACCTAAATTGAGGAGCTGTTTTGTGAACCGAACATGGGGACTCTGTTGCTGTTGTTGTTGTTAGGTGCCATTGAGTCAAGTATGACTCATAGCAACTCTGTGAACAAAAGATCTGAACCCTGTTCTATCCTGTGCCATCCTCACACTTCCTGACTCACAAGAGCCCATTGCAGCAGTCACAATGTCAATCCACCTGGCTGAGGGACTTCCTCTGCTTTGCTGACCCTCCACCCTTCCCAACATCACAAGGTTTAAAATCAAGAAATATGTGCATCAGAATTGTATCCTTTCTCCACACCTATTCAATCTGTATGCTGAACAAATTATTTGAAAAGTTGGACTTTGTGAAGAAGAATGTGGCATCAGAAATGGAGGAAGACTTATAATAACCTTCAGTATGCAGATGACACAACCTTTTTTGCTGAAAGTGAAGAGGACTTAAAACACTTGCTGCAGGAAAAAAAAATCTTCAGCCTTCATATGGTTTGCATCTCAATGTCAACAAAACAAAAATTCTCACCACTGACCAATAGACTACATCAAGACAAATGGAAAAAGATTGAAACTGTCAATGACTTCATTTTGCTTGGATGCACAACACATGTGGTACTAGTAGTTAGGAGACCAGGAGATGTATTATACTGGAAAAGCCTGCATTCAAGGACCTCTTCAAATTACTGAGATCAATGCTGTTAGTTTGACAACCAAATAAAGTGCACTTGATTCAGATCATGGTCTTTTCAATCATTTGCTATGCATCTGAGAGCTAGACAATTAATAAGGATGACAGAAGAAAAATTGATACCTTTGAACTGTGGTGTTGGAGAAGAGCACTGAATAGTCCATGGATGGCCAGAAGAACAAACAGATATATCTTGGAGAAGGTGCATCCATAGTGTTCCTTGGAGGCAAGAATGGAGAATCTTCATCTCAGACACCATAGACATGTTTCTAGAAAAGACTGTTCTTCGAGAGAGAGATCATGCATGGAAAGTTGGGGGGAAGAGTAAAAGAGAAGAAGACCCTCAACCAGATGGATTGACACAGCGACTGCTGCAATGGGCTTGAGTGTGTCAGAGATGGTGAGATTGGCACAGGATAGGACATAGGATCACTATGAGTCATACTCAACTTGAGGACACCCACCACCAACAATCTATGCTGGCAGCACAATTCCTTACCACTAAGCCACCAGAGCTCTCTTCCTGTCAAGTTGCAAACAACTCATCACAACTCTATGAACAACAGATCTGAACCCTGTTCTGTCCTGTGAAATCCTCATCATCTCTAACACTTTGGAGCCCAGTACTGTAGTCACTTGAGTCAATCCACTTGGTTGACAACCTTTTGCTGATGCTCCACTTTTCCAGACATGATGTTCCTCTCCAAAAAACATGCCAAAGTATGGGAAATGAAGCTTTGTCGTTCTTGCCCTCAAGGAGCATTTAGGCTATACCCTCTTCAAGGCATATATGTTTATTCTTTTGGTAGCCCATGGTATATTTAGTGCTTTACTTCAACATCACGGCTCAAAGGCATCAACTCTTCTCCTATAATCCTTGCTAACTGTTCAGCTCTCAGCAGCATAGAAAGCAATTGAGAAGATCATAACCTGAATCACGTGCACTTTAGTCTTCACACTGAAGTCATTATTCTTTATTAATTTGGAGAAGTCCCTGACAGCAGACTTGCCCAATACATCTCATGATCTCCTAACTGCTGATTGCAAATGTACTTGATTTTGGTTTCTGGTAAGAGGAAATCATTGACAGCTTCAATCTTTTCTCCATCTATTATGATGTTGTTCATTCATCCAGTGGTGAGGATTTTTAATATTGAGACACAATCTATACTTAAGGCTGAAGTCTTTGATTTTTCTGCAACAAGTATTTCAAGTCTTCTTTGCTTTCGACAAGAAAGGTTGTTTTATCTGCACAATGCACGTTATTAATGAGTCGTCCTACAATCCTGATCACACATTCTTCATAGAATCTAGCTTTTCAAATTATCTGTTGAGTGTGCAGGTTGACTAGATATGTAGAAAGGCTACATCCCTGACTCATACCTTTCCTGATTTTTAAACCATGCATTGTTTCTTTGTTCTGTTCAGATAACTGAGGACAGCCTCCAAAATGTTATGGGCAGTTAATTGAATCAATGGCTATAGGTTGGGTTTGATATTACTGTGTTCAAGAAACTGAACTGTACTAAACTTTGAAGATAAGAAAAATATAGGATTAGGATTGTTTTTGTTGTATACCATTGAGTCAGAACAGACCCATAGCTGACCCTCCTGTAAGTTTTCAGAGGCAGCAATCTCATGGGAGGGATTGCC